GCTGCACTGATCCTTGTGTAACAGGATAATCGTTTTGACGAACTTGGGAGGACATTCTAATCGTTCCCAGATCTGCCACAGGCCTTTTCTGTTCATAGTGTCAAAAGCTTTGGTGAGGTCAATGAAAGTTACACAGAGTCCTTTGTTCTGTGCCCTACACTTCTCTTGCAGCTGTCTGAGAGCAAATACCATGCCTGTGCTACTCCTGTTGGCTCTGAAACCACATTGGCTTTCAGGTAGAAGTTCTTCTGAAATAGCGGGTACTACTCTGTTCAAATGCATTCTTGCAAGGATTTCACCAGCAATAGAGAGCAAAGTAATACCTCAGTAATTTGAACAGTCTGATTTTTCTCCTTTCTTCTTGTATAGGGTGATGATGACTGCATCACAGAGATCTGGTGATAGTTCGCCTTCTTCCCAGAAACGCACAATGAGCTCCTGAAATTTAGCATGGAGTGCTTGGCCTCCGTGCTTCCAGACTTCAGGTGGGATTCCATCAATCCCAGCTGCCTTGCCAGTTTTCATCTGCTGTATGGCCTTGAGAGTCTCTCCCATAGTAGGGGCTATATCCAATTCGTTTTTCACCGGTTGTTGTGTAATGTGCCAAATTGCTGAGCCTTGAACTACACGGTTGACACTGAAGAGAGCAGGGAGATACCACTTAGCAAAATTGTAAACCTTTATCAGAATATACTGATACCAATTTCAGCCAGTCCAGGGTGAAGTGCAGAGAAAGGTTTGCATGTAATGTATGAAGCGTGAAGTTAACCCATTGAAAATAAATGTTTCATACAGAATACTTCTTATTCTGGTAGGGTTTTTTTTGCGGAAGGGAACATAAGTGTTTGAATTAAATTGTTAATTATGAATTATATTTTTCTTTCTTGTTTCTGTTTTGCAGTGTGTGCTGTACTTGTGGGCCTTGAAAATCCTTTACCCCAAAACACTGTTTTTACTTCGTGGGAATCATGAATGTAGACATTTAACAGAGTATTTCACATTTAAGCAAGAATGTAAGTCAACCTTAACCTCTCCTCCTATCTCCCTTTTCAACAATTTGATGTGTTGTTTTGTATTTGATACAGGTCTACCATCAGTAATTTTTAAATGTACTTTTCTAGGTTAACCATCATTAATTTTAAATCATAATTACTGTTCCCTGAGAGGGCAGTCATCTTGCAGGGGCTGGAGAGGGTGTCTCTGGGGTGAAGAGAGAGGGTTAGACCCCCTGCCTCGAAGCAGGTACTGACCGACCACCCATATAAAGTCAGCGAAGGAGGGATTGTTGTTTAGTGCTGCAGGTGTCAAGGCACTTCAGCTTGCCAGCCTGACCTGGGAAGCAGCCCGGGCCTGCCGTGGGGCCGTTTGGGCCAGGATGCTCTGGGTAAACTCCTGCCGATCTGCAGCAGCCTGGCAGTCTCAAACCTGCAGTCGTGCCAGCTCTGGCACCTCTGTGACAGGTGTCTCATTGCTAGTGGAGGAGGTGACATCTCACCAGGTCTCATCTGCAGCAGGAGAAAAACTCAAGGGATTTTTATGTTGTGTTTTGTGGGGTTTTTCTTCCTTTAAGCGTAGCATTCTCCCATTTACCCTGTCAGTTGGCTTTAACTGTCTGGTATGTTCTTTCTGTAGCGATTCCTTTCTGAGTATCAGGAAGGGACACAGTGACACATAAAAGCTCATTAGATATAGACCTTCACCTGCGCAATGACTTTTCCCTGCCCCGTGGCACTGTAAGCTGAAGCTGTTGTCATAAGTCTGTGTTCCGTTTTAGCATTGGGGATAAAGGAAATGTTAATTGGCTCAAAGGCTTCATGGTTTGCTGAGTTTAATATGCATATTGGTAAATTAACATTTCAGCTTAATTGTACTACAGTGTCCACTTCGTGATGGCATTTCTATAGATAATTAATTGTAAGGGACTGGGCTAAATGTCCAATTAATTGATAGGGAGTATATTGAGTGATATTGTAGTAGATGATAACCATTCAGTAGACTTTTTAAGGATTGTTGTATAGATTCCATGGCTGACTATCATGGTATGTTAAATTGTTTATTTACTTTTTTTTTTAGAAAAATATAATAAACTTGGCAGAACTTCTATTACTTTCACCTCAGGATCTGAAGAATTTTTCCAGCTGTGCATAATAATAATCATCCTAATATTTTTTTTGCATAAGGCAAGCTTTGGTACAGTCCTCAGTGCAAGAGAGAGAAGTGAGAACAAGATTGAGATACTAAGCAGTATCCTAATATCTTTTTTCTTCTTAAATATTAATGGCACTTTCTGATACCATCTTAATCTTTAAAAGGTAAAATCAAATATTCAGAACGTGTATATGATGCCTGCATGGATGCCTTTGACTGCCTTCCCTTGGCTGCTCTGATGAACCAACAATTCCTGTGTGTACACGGTGGCTTGTCTCCAGAGATCAACACCCTAGATGACATCAGAAAAGTAAGTCTGAGTAGTGCTCAGGTTTAGTAAGTGACCAATTAATCATCAGCAACTAAAACCTGAATCCTTTCTCACTGTCATTCATTTGTGTAGGTTACTTGTATGCCATTTTGATTTGAATGGTGACATTATCACCTTTCAGAGGTCTTTTTAAGTAGAACATAAAAGGAATTACTGCAATTAGTCATATTTTATTGAGGTAAGGCAATGACCAGCATGCAGTAAACCCAAAGGATTTATCATCTTTGCACTCTAAAAAAAATAGTGCATTGAGTATATACGTATTTAGAAGTAAATGAATACACAACATTAAGTATTATCTGCTAGCTCACCATCTGATGATTCCACGTGCCTTGTTAGGCATTCTGCCCTTTCTTGGAGAAGAGAGAAAAATAGCTCTAAAAAAATCTCACAAAACTTAAATAAAAAAAAGTATGGTATGATTGCAATGAATATGGTCAAACCAACATTACTGTTTTAAAAAGAGTCAAGAGTAGGTCCTGCCACATTTTTAATAGTACTGCACTTGAGTGCCTAGCAGATTATCTAAATGAAGTAGATTGATGCTTGTATCATACTTGTGTGTTCTGAGAAGTTTCTTATAAGTCTTGCGAAAGTTCAGAGAGCAACATCAAACAGTTTGTTCACATTAGGCAGTGTTGTTGCACATTATCAAGGATTCCATTTTTTCAGGCGTTTTGGAAAAGGAGGCATTTTAACCATTCATTCTTAGTATTTCTAGCAGAAAAAAAATCTTACTTGTTTCTTGAAGTTTGAGACTCACGAATATGCATATATACTTCTGAGCTTTAAAGTTACTAAAAGATAAATTATATTCTGAGGTTAATTTGTAGCCTACTAAGAAATTAATATGTTTTAAAACCAAAACCAAACAACAACAAAAAACCTTGAGAAAGTAATATTTTGGTTTTGTTTTGGTTTAAAAGCAATTAGATTAAGGTATTGACTGTGCTTTTAAAAGCTACTGAGTGTAAAGTTTTGTTTGCTGAGTGTAAAGTTTTGTAAAGGTTCCCTGTCTCATAAAGCAAAATGTTCTCTGCCTAAAAATTAACTGCATTTTCAACAGAGTAAAGTTGTTTAGTTCTCAGATTCTGGATTCTGGTCATTAACATCCTCTCTTTGCCCTCCTTCTCCAGCAGGTTAATTAATCTGCGACACTCAGCAGAAAGTGGTTTTACACATTTTTGAGTTGTTACTTAATTTAAATGAATTATAGTTGCAAAAGTATTAATTGGTAGAGGGCTGAAGCAAAGTTAGAAGTGTAAGTATGCTAGGAATATTTCATTTTGTTGATGCAAAGGCAAAATTGTAGAGAACTCTTAGTAAGAGTGTTGAAAGCATATAAACCAGATTCTTAGAATTATTTTTTGGGGGGGAAAAAAAGAAAGGTGTGTTAGGTATGCTACTAAGTCATTATCTTTCTGATCAGAGTAGAGAATGTTTCGATCTACAAGCCTGATTCATACACCCATCTTAAAAGGGGTATTTTTATATTAAACACTTCTTGCAGAGGAAGACTAATTTTTAGTATTTCTCTATTTTGCTGTATTTTGCCTTATTTGCAGTATGATTCTATACAACTAGATTTTTTTAATACCAGTAGTCAGACAGAAAAAGGAGTTTTTAGCTGCTTAATTAGGGTTAAGGTTATGAGAGCAACAAGAATGTCATGGCAAGATTCTGTAACGCAGAGATGTTTTCTTGATATTTAAATACAATTTTTTTTGTGAAAATGTATTTAAATCAAAATGAGACCTTTGAAGTAACTTTTATTTTTTCTTCAGATGTCTCACATTGAGTGACATGATGCTTGAAAAATCATGAAATACAGAAATACCTTTTTCTCTCTTGTTCACTGACATACTTGCAAAAAATGTAGAAAAACAAAAAAATGGCTCAAAAAATCATATAGAATGGGATACCACTGTATCTCCTAATTTTTTGTTTTATCTGTTCCTTCTCTTTCTCAGCATTAGCAAGGAATGTTTTACTGTTATTCAGAATCCGTTGCTTTAAAGCTAAGAGCAACCCAAAGCTAGAAAATTAATTGCTTTTGGTCTTTGCTTGCCAACATGTGGAATTAAAACCAGTTACTTTGCTTCAGTTTTCTATGATACATAGTTGAAAGAAGTTAGTATTTCTTTGTCTCCTATTTTTCTTAGTTAGATCGATTCAAGGAACCACCTGCATACGGACCTATGTGTGACATCCTGTGGTCAGACCCGCTGGAGGACTTTGGGAACGAGAAGACTCAGGAACACTTTACTCACAACACAGTCAGGGGGTGCTCGTACTTCTACAGGTGAGATGACCACTTTGAATGGGTTTCTCTGTGTGAACGTGTTCTGGTTTTGCAGTATAAATATTTGCTTGAAGTTTGTGGCACTTCTTAGGTAATTCGGCCTCTTTCTTCTGCAGGCTTGCCTTGTTTCCCAGTAAACTCATGTTTTCTTGATTTGTATCTTGCTCTCACCTACGACTTGGAAAACTTACAATGGCTTAATTTTATTCACCAAAGTCTTTGCTTGTTTTTGTAAGTTAGAGAATGAATGTGTTAATTTTAGAAGGGGATAGGTAACTACATTTCTGGTAAAATTAGAACTTAATTTTGAATGAAAGACACCAGCATTAGAAAACTCACTACCTGTTGCTCTGCAGGGTGAGTTAAAAATTGTGATTTCCCATACACAGGTACTTTTTTTTCCTCTCAGTGCTATCAAACTTTCATGGGTGTTTGGGAATAGTTCTTCCAAAAAAGTTCAGGATTGGTTAACTGGGACTTGCTAAGAGCTGAAATGCAGAGAAATGCCTGTAACATTCTTTCAGAAACTCGCATTTATCTTTGCAATCCCATACAAAGATATCAACTTGTAATTAATTTCTGAAATTATTTCTTTCTATTGATATTTGTTAGGAAAATATAACTGTGAGAATATTTCTGAAAACAAAAGTAATAGTAATGAGGACAGACGGACATCTAAAGCAAATCTGTGGGTTAGTTCATGACTATTTAAAGGAAGCTTTCTTCTCAGTTTCTTTTCTGAGTAGTGGTAATTGTCCTTTAAGCATGGTGGAAGGTTTTTATCTGTCTCTGTGTCAAGAGTTGGAAGACTCTCTCCTGTATATTAAGGGAGTGGATTTCCTTGGGTGCTGGGGCATGTCCCACTGTCCCCTCTTTGACAATGCATGGGGAGACCCAAGCAAGGAACAAATGGTTCCCTTTTCCCAGTCTGGCCTGGGTGCTGACTGCTGCCTTTCTCCATTTCCAGTGATAGTGGCTTGGTTTGCAGACCAAGTCCCGTGGACACTAGGCAGAAGGCACTCTCTTACGTGTCCTTCAGCTGGTGACAAAGAACCTCTCTAGCACTACGTCCCTTCTCTCTTCATTCTAGGACGTGTCTGTGTTACCTCATGAGTGGTGGCAGTGATTACGTTGTACCCTCCTCTGACAGTGTAGGGATTTTGAGGGATTTTGGCTGCCTTTTTTTTTTTGAAGGAGTGTCACAATAGTTAAGAACAACTTGCAAGCACACTAGAGTAACAAAACTGAGAGGAGTGGAAGTTAAGTGCCAAAATGAGCAATGTATCCAGTGAAATCTAAATTAAAATACTAATTTTTGTTTGAGAGAAATGTGAAGACGCTATTGAAAAGTTAAGAGGTTGCTGAGCCTTTTGAAGGGAGTGATTCTACTTTTGGCCATGCTAGCAATACACAAGTTTAACTTTTCCCAGCAAGCTCAGCAGAAGTGAGGAATTCAGCTCCTTTAGTTACCTTAAAAAAAATCTCACCTTGAACATAGCTGACCTGGCTTCCACCAGTAACCAGGAGACAGAGCTGCTAGAATCAACCTTCTTGTTGGTAATGTTAGCAGGAAGGTAATAAGATAGTTTGACATTTAGAAATTGGTTTTCCTAGTCCTTTCTTGGAGCAGTAATTGCTGCCGCGTGGGGATGGGCTGAGACCAAAGCGGTCTGCGCTGCAGCCTGGGCTGCCAGCACCCACGTTTTGTGAGCAAGTCCTACCCTTCGGATCAATAACATGTGGACATCGCAATAAATGTGATTGGTCTCATTATGAAAGAAGGTGTCAAACTGTTGCAAACAATTGATCCGTGCAGAAATGGGCTCTGTGACCCTGAGGGCTTGAAATCATTCCTGTTCCTCTCAGCAGTACCAAATGCTGGAGCGTGCCTGGGACTCTCAGGCACTGTAAGCGGTGAGTAACGGCAGTTTCCCCTCATGAACCTCTCTTACAAAAGTGAAAAGCCTTGTAAACATGCCTTATGCTTAGATACCGGACTTAGTATATACTGGAACAATTTCTAGGTTTTAGGGTTGTTTTTCCAGAGCTCTGTTTCTTGCAATTACCATAAGATTTCCCTAAAATATATATCCATTTCCTCCTGAAATATATCAGATCTACTCTGTGTCCTGACTCGTGTTCAGAAAAGCACATATTTTAGGAAAAGAGGAAATATTTGGAAGATACTGAATTGTCAGGTCCCATGTGAGGGACATGTAACTGCCTAATGACCGGAGCAGATGACTAGATTGGAGTCACCTTATCTGAGGTTATATAACGGCAAGAGTTACTCTTAAAAGAAGTGCCTATTTGCTCTGGAAGGCCACTAATGGTTTACCTAATGATAATCCCTAGCAAAAAAAAAGTATCCATTGGTGTTCAATGTCTAATTTTGCTTGCCTCTTCTACTTACTTCCAAGAAAAATGAATTAGTTTTCCTAAACAGCCTACTCAGCTTGTAAAGGAAGGACTGAATTATGCAGTTGATTGGAAGGAATTAGTTTATTTTTCAGTAAATAAAACTTGTTAGTTTCTTCAGTCATTTCCAGAAAGCAAAGTTAAAAGATAGCAGTGGGCATTTTAATGGAAGGTTCCAAAGATTCCAGGCACACATGTGAGCTAGGGAAATTATTTCTAGATTATTAAAATATCTTCATTAATTGCAGGGAGTAAGTGTAATAAATAACTTTTATCAGACATGTTCATTATAATGGCAAGTTTCGAGTGACTTTTCTCTGATTTAAAGTTATTTTCCATAACAAAATGCAGTAATGTGGCTTTCTAGCTGCGTACATACAACATGTTAACGGGACTTTCCAGCTCAGTAGTACATGAAATACTCTTCATTCATCCCAAACTCACATGTGAAACGTTGAGCGGTTTGTATGAGGAACACACACATGAGAAGGTATGAAGACTGCAGCTCACAGTAGTCTGACAAGCTTCTCACTGCATTTCTTAGTGACCGCTCACATACAGCCTTTCACATTTTGAACTGATTGTGTTCTTCAAGAAATTTCCTTTTGTGTAAGAGTTCTTAAAACTGTTATGGCTTGCACTATAAAATGTCAGGTCTTGAAACCACAGGCCTAACCTGTGATTTTGAGATGTAAAGAATATTCAGCTTAGTTTTCAAGGGTGCTAAGAGTCAATGCTTAAAGCACGCCTTTTGCACCCGTCAGCATCTTGCTGTGTGGATTATCAAAATTTGTGGATTCTTGAAAATAATAATAGTGCTATGTGACAGTGAAAGGAATAACTGTGAAATTTAAGTAATTCTTGGAAATTTATTTAAGTTCTCTGTGCCATAAAGTGAAGAGTGAAGAGGTTTCCCCTTTCTGAATCTGATTGTTGTATGTCCTTTCATGTCATGGTCATGTCTGTTGCAGTTTTGTCGAAAAGTTCAAGTACTTAATGGACTGCTAGTTGTGTAAATTGTTTTTTTTTTAATTATGAGTTAAGTGAAGCTTTTCTTTCATCCTTACCCAGAATAATGTCGTATTCAGGGAATGTTATAACAAGGGAATTAATTTGTCCCTGAGTGATATTCCCCCCTCCCTTCCCACCTCAATTTTTCAGCTACTCCAGCCAGTAAAGAAGTTTTCCTCTTTGTTTATCAGATTATCTGGTTTTGCCTTGAATTTATTTAGTGAATATTTATTTTCACTTAGCTGATTGTACTGATACTGGCAGTGACTCATTGCACTTATTTCATGGACTAGTGGTACAGTAACTCAGGCATTTCTGTAAGAAATGTATCTGACTTGGCAAGATACAGTGCTACTTATCGTCTTGAGAAGGGCTTCTTTCAGTGATCAGAAAGCTTCAAGTAGTCAGTTGGACTTCTTTTTCTATCTGAAAATGTTATTAACTTATGGAGTGACAGCCACTAATTAGATTTGGGCAATTGTTGGGGCATAGGGAAAACTCTCTTCTTTCTAAGCCTCGCTGGACGGATGAAGAGTTAAAATGTCCTTTCATCACATTTGGACAAAGTTACCGTGAGCATGCATGGTCCTAACCATGAAAAATTGCAATTGGATCCATGCCCAGCTTGTTTCATTTCAGTTGTGTAAAAGCTCTGAGAAAGAACATCGGGAGTTTGGTTGTGCCACTGAGTTAATGAGCAGTGTCTTATCCTACGTAAAATTTATCAGGGGCCTCCTATCAGGGGTGAGCCCATGTGCAAGGGTAATGCTTTCTGGGATCGTTTGTGTGCATAAGACTTGGTTCATCACTGACTATTGACAAGAGTGTGAGTGGTGTGAGCTTGGCCAAAGTCAATGGATGGCCTCAGAAGTAGAGCAGATACCCAGAAGTTCTATGAGACGTGGTGCTTCAGCATCTTGGGTTTTCACAGTGAGTTTAGTATCAGTTCTTAAGGGATGTTGAGCTTTTTAAAGCTGTTTGGCTGTCGACTACATTAGATTTTTTTCAAAAGCAACAAAACGACAAAGGTAGAAATGGTTAGTGACAGGAGTGACTGGCATTGCAGGCTCCTCTTAGAGCTTCTTTTGCCCACCTTGGACAGGAGTGAAATGGTTCAGCCTGCTCAGGGGTAGAATAATGATTTTGGCCCTGCCAACACGTCAAGACAGTGGTTTCCTTTACATATATGTTAATTTTGTGAGTATGCAAGGACTAGAGGAATGTCTGCTAAAAGGTTTTAAAGACCGTAGTGTGTTGCACTTGGGTTGTGAGGCACGGTTGTATAAGTGTTGTGGTGCTTTCTTTTGCGGTAGCAGCAATTTAAATGGATTCTTTTGCCTGCTTTTCTGTTCTTGCTTCTTCCAGGCCAGAAGCTTTTTGCTGCCCTCACGTTATCTGCCCAGCAGTGTTAGTAGAACTGCTCATGCATTCTATCAGACCTGGGAACACATCCAATCCTAAAAGAATGACTCTGCAAAAAAGAGATGTGCTGCTTTGTTCTAATCCTGTGCAGTTCCCTCCTCTCCTGCTCAGTGCAGCTCTGCAGACTGCACAGCTGAGGGCAAGAAAAA